GGGGATGGGGGTGGGGACAGGAAGGCCAAGCTAAGCTGGAGAGGTCAAGAGAGGACTTGGGCCACACCAGCCACAGCAGGTAGAGGGGAATCACCTGGGGAGAGAGTCCACTTCCTGCAAACTGAGGACACGTATTTGACTAGAATGAATACATCTTCAGGAAGATGAACAGCGGGGCCACAGAATGCTTGTCAGAAACTTAGGGGAAAGGTGGGCAGGGGAATTCAGCAGGGCTGTGTAGGGAGACCCAGAACTTGTACCTATGCTCTGATGCCCCAGCAATGAGACAAAATCTGTCTTAAAGGGACTTTTAAGGTCTAGTGCGCTATGTCAGAGAAGAAGTTTAGAGGTTCTTTTTGTATAAAATGTCCTACTGTTTTTGAAACAGGAGGAAACATAACCAAATGTTGGGGAAGGTGGCAAGGGATGAAAGTCAGAGGAAATCTTGGTTAGGACATTTTGGAATACTCATATTTATTTATTTTAATTTTTTAATGTTTTATTTATTTCTGAGAGAGAGAGAAAGAGAGAGACAGCATGAGCAGGAGAGGGTCAGAGAGAGAGGGAGACACAGAATCCAAAACAAGCTCCATGCTCTGAGCTAACTGTCAGCACAGAGCCCAACGCGGGGCTTGAACCCACGAACCATGAGATCATGACCTGAGCCAAAGTCGGGCTGAACCCACGAACTGTGAGATCATGACCTGAGCCGAAGTCGGGCGCTTAACTGACTGAGCCACCCAGGCGCCCGGAAATACTCATATTTATTGAATACCTGGCACATAACACTCTGCCCAATTCATGCTTGTTGAAAACATTTCTTTCCCTACTAGTTTAAATAATGATTGGCAGGTGGGTGCCTGGGTGGCTCAGTGGGTGACTGAGTGGGTGACTCTTTTTTTTTATTTTTTAATGTTTCGTTTTGAGAGAGAGAGCGCAAGAGCACAAGCAAACGGAGGAGGGGCAGAGAGAGGGGGAAACACAGAATCTGAAGCAGCTCCAGGCTCTGAACTGTCAGCACAGAACCTGATGCGGAGCTCGAACTCATGAACCATGAGATCATGACCTGTACCAAAGTCAGATACTCAACTGACTGAGCCACCCAGGTGCCCCTAAGTGGATGACTCTTGATATCAGCTCAGGTCGTGATCTCATGGTGGTGAGATGGAGCCCCACGTTGGGCTCAGTGGTGAACCTGGAACCTGCTTGGGATTCTCTCTCTTCCTCTCTCTCTGTCCCTCCCCTGCTTGTGCTCTCTCTCTCTGTCTCTCTCTCTCTCTCAAAATAAGTAAACATTTAAATAGTAGTAATGATGATTGGGGGGCATTTGCATTAAGATACAAACTAAAATTTGTTAAAATGGTTCAACCAGATACTTGGGAGGTGGGTTATTGTCAAACATCCAAAGTCACTACCTCCACTTAAAAGCACGTAATAAGTATTTAATACGTAGTTTGCGAACACTAGCAAGTATACTTTGGTCATATATTCATGCAGAGGATATTAGGACACATTTAGTTCTTCCATTTATTTTACAGATGGAGAAACTGAGGTCTGGAAAGTGGAAGGGACGTGCCCAGTCATAAGTTAAATTTTTTTTAATGACTCAGGGTTATCATGATTGCAAATTATTCCTCAGTCTAATGGTCCCTTGCTTTCACTATAATATTAATGAGTCATTCTTCTTAAAACATGACTCACCCAGAGCAGGGCAGACTGACCAGCAGCTTTCGGGACGGCACTGAAACCTCCCTACTCCAACCACAGCCAATTCAGAACTAGTCTGTGCTCCAGACCACTCACGATGGCCCTGCCCCATGATGAGCCCTGCCCCAATCACAGCAGGATAAATCACCCTCTAGCTTACCATCACGGCGGGGGGGGGGGGGGGGGGGGGGGGGGGGGGCTGCAGGGAGGGGGGCTGCTGCTTGATCTGGGAACCCTTACTCCTCCTCTCCTTCCTTCTCCAAAGCCAGCTGGGAAAACTCAGGCTAAATAGGATGGCCCCAGAGATGAAATAAGGCAAAGATGCTGATTTGGGACACAGGCACCCCGAGTCAATCCTTTGATTCAATCCTTTATGAATCCCAAATTGCCAGGCTTTCCTTTGATTTTGAAATTGAGTGGGGAGATTGAAAACAGGAGTCCTTTCCTTCTGGAAAGGCATGGTCTCTTTGTTGTACTGGGGTGGCATCAGAGATGGTGAATTTTGTGAATATGGAAAAATAGAGACAGAAAGTTTCCCCCGGCTGCCTGTAATAAAAAGAGTGCCAATTTCTCTCTAATAATCAACCAGGGGAAATGCTGGGTGTGCTTCTGATTCCCTGAATTCACTGCTTCCCACCCTTAGGATACACAAAGGACCTAGATCTGTTTAGATCTAGGTAGACTGAACCTTTGGCCAGACCCTCCTGGCCCTCCACTCACTTTGGCTGGGAGGCATCAGGACTGGTGCAGCCTCAGGAAGGAACTGAGATTCCCTGTCCTTTGGGCCACTGGCTTGAGTTGGGGAGGATTGGAAGGGGTCAGCTGGGTAAAGAGGATCAAAAATTCTTAAGCATGGGAGGAAGGCAGGAAGCAAGGTGGCACTATGATCTAGTAGTGCTTCTCCAATTTTAATGTGCATATAAATTCCTGGGGGATCTGCTACATTGAGATTTTGCTTCAGTAGACTTGAAGTGGAGCCTATGATTCTGCATTTCTAAGTAGCTCACAGGTAGTGCTGATGCCGCTGGTCCGTGGAACAGCAAGGCTCTAAGAGAACTGAAGCCTCAGAGGCCCCAGAGTGTTCCAGACCAAGCCATGATCCCAGGATGTGAATTCTCTCCAGCAGAGCAGATCCTGTATTTTTGGCATTGATGAAGGGTGCTCTCCTTTTGACCAAAGAAAGCTGGAAGGTGGGCAATTAGCAAGATCCTTCTGGTACTCTTGATTCTTGTAACAACCTGCTATAGCTGAAAGAGCATTTTTAATTAGACCAAATTATCTAGTTTGGCTGTCCACAGAAATCAAAGCCCCAGCTGAAATGTCTGTTTCACTTTGTTGGTGTAGAGATGTCTGTGTGCTGTGATTTTTAAGATGTTAAGCACTGCCTGTGGGCATACTTTATGGAGAAATAAACACACAGCCCAATGAGATGTATAGTGTGGTTTTAATATATTGTATATTCACTTATTTATGGGGAAAATAAATACAAGAGCCAATAAGCTGTGTATTATTACTTTAATATATTGAATTTATTTCATACCTATATATTTTATGAGGGAAAATAAACCAGTAAGATACACGATATTATTATAATAACACATCTAATTGTTCTATATTAATTTATTTATGAAAGAAATAAGTGCACCTTAACATGACATAAGATTATTTAATGCAGGAGATAATTTCTATATTAAGACAGTTTAAGGGATTAAATTCCAGCTGAATAAGGTGTGTGCACTTCTCGCACTGAGGGGCCAGTTACAAAAAATATATGGGAGCGCCTGTCTAGTCCTCTGTGTCACGACCTGCGTGGGCTCCTGGCTTTTCCTGAGAATTGTTGCCTCCCCGTGCCTGGTCCAGGGGAGAGTCTGGGAGGCCCAGGAAATAAACTGCTTTTCGAGAATGGCAGCATCTGCTGGGGGAGGTAGCCCTGCGGTGTCTCTTTCGGAGCCAGAGAAATATTAAGTAAACCTAAGAAGGATGGATGGCTTTCCAGGGCCCTTTAAATCTCCGCGTTCCCCGGAACGAACCAGGCGGCAGATGGGGGAGATCGATCCTCGCTTCCCGCTCGCCGGCTTCGCACGCAGCCGAGCCTGGCGGTGGGGGACAGGAGACGGTTGAGATGGCAGACGAAGCTGTCGGTAAGGCAGGCAGGCCCGCGTTTGGAGCAAGCGGCGGCCGGGCTTTAGATCCCGGAGCCAAGGGTGCACAGTCAGAGCCGGCGAGGCCGACCGGGGCCTGCAGACCCGCCGCTCACCCCTGCGCGGCCCACCCCGCGCGCACGGCGCGTCCACCGCGCGTCCTCGGCCTCCGCTGGCCTCATCTTTAAAACAAAACCCAAAAGGAGGCTCCCGGCTGCCTTTCTTCAGGAGGTCCTGGAAGACCCGGAAAGGAGAAGGCGGGCGCGGGGCACGGAGCCCCGCAGCGGCTGTCATGGCGGCCACCGTCTCTTCCCGCGCCCTCCCTGCAGCCCGGCCCCAGCGCCATTTTGAGCATCTTCCCTGCCTCTCCGTCGCCCAGCCGCTCTCCTCGCCTCCTCCTTGTCGCCCCCGCAGGGCTAGCGCCTCCCGACGCGGCCCCGGCCTCCCCCGGCTCGTGGCCCCGCCGCCCCTCGGACGCCCTCCCGACCCCCAAGCCCTAGAGTGGCTGCGGGCACCGAGGAGCCCCGGAGGCCGGGCCTCGCTCCCTTTTTCCCCGGGCCTCCTTCCCGGCCCGCTCCGAGGCCTGCTTCGCGAGAACACCCCCGACCCCTGGCCTCGCGTCCCCAGGCTTCTTGCGTTCCCGAAAAAGCCTTTCCACCCGGCTTGGGGGCACTGAAGCCAGAAGCTTGGGAAACCCCAGGGCCCCTCCCCATCCGGCTACACCTCTGCGCCCCACGCCACGACCCCCAGGCGCGTCCCCGAGGCCTCCTCTCCCTCCACCCGCCCACCTTTATTTCTAAGCCGAGCCCTGGGAACGCGGTCGCAGGGCCCAAGGCCGTCTGGTGGGGGTGTCGAGATGCAGAGAATTCCAGCAAGCTCCCGACTCCCCTCGAGCTGCGGGCCGAGAAGCGGTGGCCAAGTAGGGTCACTTTTGTACCAGCCGGGCTCAGCCGACGCAGGGTTGCCTCGCGCGGGTCCCCAGGGAACCAGGGCCGGCCTTGGGGGCTGCAGGGAAAGGGGCTGGGGTCCCAACACAAACACTCGTTTCCGTATTATAAAGACATTTATTTAATCTATGAAAATAATGTACAATAAATACTTTCCCCTTCTCCTATTATTAAAGAATTTCAATAAATAATCTACGGTCTAAAACTTAAAGAGAGAGAGAGGAAAACATGTTCCTCCAGTTCTTTAAGAAAGCCCCCGCCCCCCAGAGTTTAATTATTCCTGAGATTTCGTTGGAAAGAGTCTACCGGAGTTTTTCTGTGTGGTTTTAAAAAGACGCCCGAGTGCCCAGTATTTTAGACAGAGAAGAAAGGAAATGGATTAAACACTAACTGAATAATACCTGAATTTTAGCAAAACACAGAAAGAAGTCTAAACGACTTGGGGGGGGGGGGTCCTCGGGTTTTCCGGCCGACGGGCCGAGGGGACGAGGCTCGGAGGGGCCGGGAGGAGGAAACCGGTTAGGGGAACTGCAGGTCGATGGCACAGAGGGTGCTGGTGAAGAAATCCAGCTCTTCCTCGGAAAAGGGAACCGGGCTGTCGAGCGAGCCCTGGAGGCTGGGGGAGAGGCCTCCGGACAGCTGGAGACAGGAGTCGGCCGCGAAGAAGTTGAGATCGGGCAGGAAAGGCGAATCCTGCCGCTCGGGGAAGGCGTCTTCGGGCAACGGCTCGGGCTCCAGCCTGGCGGCCGCGCGCAAACCACCCCGCACGTGAGCGCTCAAAGGCTGGGGGCCCTGGGCGCCCGGGGGGGCCGGCGCGGCCTCGGGCGGGTGCGAGCAGGCTTCCCGCGCCGCCCGCGAGGCGGAGGGGCGGCCGGGGCTGGCCGCGGGCTCGTCGGCCGGCTCGCCGGTGTCCTCCGCCGCGCCTGCGCAGGCCGGCTCCCCGTCGGGCGGCTCTCGGTGCTGCGTCTGCCGCTTGTGCTTCATGCGCCGGTTCTGGAACCACACTTTGACTTGCCTCTCGGTGAGGTCCAGCAAGGCCGCGATCTCCACGCGGCGCGGCCGGCACAAGTACTTGTTAAAGTGGAATTCCTTCTCCAACTCCAGGAGCTGCGTGTTGGTGTAAGCAGTGCGCAGCCTGCGCGCCCCGCTGCCGGCGGCCTCCGGCGGTCCCGGGCCATCTGCAGGGAAAGCGGGCTGGGTGTCAAAGCGGGCAGCGTCCCCGGCTCAACCTCATTCCGCTTAGGTGAAGACCACCCCAACCGCCCAAAACAATATCAGCAGGGTACCCCCCACCCCCTCCTTGCCGCCTACCGAAGCGGCTCGCTCTCACGGCTTTTCCCGTCCCTCTCTCGCCGGCAGACCCGGGCCCGGGTCAGGGCATAGCATTCAGAGAGCCGCCCACGGGCCACGCAGGGGGTCGGCCGCGGCTCCCTTTTGCCCCCACAACCTCAGAGCCTCCCTCCCGAGTCATTGGACTGGAGCCCTCGGTTGGGCATTTTCTAGTTCAACCCAGAAAGGTTCATTAAGAAAGAGGATTCCTCACCTCCTGCCCTCCCTAGCTTTCAGACTCCCCCCTTTTAGAGATGGGGGAAATGGGACTCGATCTTTTCCTGCGCCCGGGTTCAACCCCGGCAACACCACGTTCATTCCTCAGCACACATAAAGGTGAAAAGCTGAATCAAGTCCTTTTTGTAGCAGAGGAAAAGCTCTTCCCCACCCAGCCTCCAAAATCTGATACAGTGTTTGGAAAAAAAAAAAAAAAAATGCTGGCAGCGGCCAGGCCTGAACCCCAGCCGTATATTCTTCTGGCTCATCCCTGGAACGGACGGGGGAAGGATCCCCAACAGGCTCGACACCTTTTCTACCTCCCCCATCGCTCGCTCCTTCTCCCCCTCTCCTCTGGCTGCCCCCCAACCCACCCCTACCCCGCTAACCGACCTGCTGGCGATCCGACCCCGGAGGCCGAAACGGAGGCGGCGGCCGGTGGAGACGAGGCGGATTGGCTGGGTTTCTTGGCGGATTTCTTCTCTTTCATCCAGGGGAACTCGGGGACCAGGGGGGCGGCGGGGAGCGGCGGCGGCGGCGGCAGAGCGGGCCCATCTTCGGCTCGCTTTTGGCTCCCGGGTCTCTGAAGGGTGGAGGCGCCGGGCTGGAGGCTGGGGAAGGTTTGCTCGAAAGGAGGAGGAGGAGGAATTAATGTCGACTCCTTGATTGATGAAGTTTGAAATGTCTCCAAGACAGCGGGGAAGGAAGTCAGACACTCGGCGAGCGATGGCTGGCTGTTTATAAACCCAATCTCCCTCTCAAATTCAAAATTCATGGCTTTCAATGGTGGGGGAGGGGGCCTGCTGGGGGGGGCGTCAGGAGGGAGGATCGGAAGGGACCCCCCCTCCTGCCCCCCCCAGGTTTATGTGATGGAGCGATTTTGGGAGGGGGAGATTTCGCTCTTTCTCTCTCTCTCTCTGTTTTTTTTTTTTTTTAATTTTGGGCCTTTATAATTGTATATTGCTGATAAATACAAGCGTATGGGGACTCTCTCTATTAAACCCAGGACTCCTGCGAAATTGCAGGGAATTCATGGTCACGGGACTGGCCTCGGCCAATCGCTCGGCTGGGCCTGGTGGAAAACAGAGAGCATTATTTGCTTTAATTGATTCAAAAACTCTAGAGAACCACGACCTGGACACCGTGAGGCCCCCAGTCCTACACTCCCTCTCCCCGTGCTTCCCTTTCTCCAGAAAGGCTAGAGGAACCTTTCTCTCACCCCCTTCACAGGATGGGAGGCTCCAAAAGCTGGAAAACAAGAGAATCTAAGGGAGAAGTCTTCCTCTTTTCCAAATGTTTTTTAACTGAATACATTAGTGCTTTCTTTACAATGCCAGCAGTATTCTCTCCCCCACCCTCCCCCTATTAAAAAAAAAGCGGGGGGGGGGGAGAAAGCTGAGTAAGGATCTCAAAGTGGAAGGAAAAGGGAGTGGAAAGAGGCTTCCATCCTTTGGGACAGGTCAGCGTTAAGGTGCAATAAGGAAGAGAAGAGATTTACAATCATCGGCACCACCATCCCCATCCCACCCCCCAAAAGCAACGGATAAATCTTAGAAAATCGACAGGCACTCCCGGGCTGACACGGAGGAGTGAGATAGATGGTGAGGGGCTCTTTTAGGCCTCTGGCGGCCAAAGGTGTGTGGTCTCAGTTCCCTTCTCCGCCCAGTGTGTTCAGCACTACCCGGGTCCCTGGGTCCACCTGCCTTCTTCACCTGGGGCCCTCCCACTCCTTTTCGACACCGACAACAGACAGGGTCTAAGGTGCCTATGCTCTCACTCAAGCTTCAAGTCTGTATCTGCATCTATCTCTAGGGACGCTAACAAGAACCAGGGTAGTAGGAGATTTAACTTAGAGCGCTCTCAAAACTCAGGTCAACGTTTGGGGAGAGGAATTCCCTCCTGGGACACAGAGAATCCCCCTTCCTATTTTTGCCAGCGTGCTAGTTTTAATCATCAGGTCATCATCCTCATCCTCATCCCTGGCAACAAATAATTCTCTGAGAATGAAGAGGATGGCAACAATTTGACTACTGAGATGATATTCCATTTCTGGGGCAGGGGAGGATTTTTTTTTTTAATTTGTTTTGAGGGGCTCAAGATAGTCTGAACTTTAGAGAGTATTGTAATTTACTGGAGAGAGGGCCACAGACTCGCTGGCCCCCAAGCAATTGGTGGGAAACTAGATCTCAAAGCAGAAAATGAAAAGTCGATCTGGGGGAAGATTTTTAAATAAGTGGGTCAGAGGGACCGAGAGGAGATGAGGCGATCAATCTTAGCCCCCTGACAGCTCCCTCCGATGGCATCAAAGAATTTGGCTCTTTGGGAAAGCCGAGGGAACAGCCGAAATTCCACATCCCTTTAAAAGGCCTGGGGGTGGGGGGTGATAGCAAAAGAGAAAGGTGATTCTGGGAGAGCAGGGAAACAGATGGGCAATGGGGACAGAGGGAAGGTCGCTGAGCTGGGTGGAAAGTTTGTCTGGAGAACTCCCACGGCTCTGGCCTCCCCTCCCCCTCCTCCCCTCGGCTGCCCAGCAAGGAGGAGAAGGCTGGTTAGCAGAGAAATGGCAACTCAGCCGGGAGCTGGAGCTAGAAACTTTCTGTCAATGTAACAGCCGCGTGGGTGGCGGTGAGTATTCATCCGCGTGGGTGGCGGTGAGTAGTCATCCGCGTGGGTGGCGGTGAGTATTTAAAGAGGCCAGAGGAGAGCCAGGGGAGAGCCAGGGGATTTGTAGGTGGGGGCCGCAGGGGCAGGAGGGCTCCGAAGAGAGGGAGCTGCCCCGAACTGGGCAAACTGGCCAGAGACCGTTGTGTCCGACTCCACTCCAAAGGGGGCGATTTTTGCCGTTTTGGGGCGAGTGTGCATGGGGTGGGGGAGGGGAGGTGGGAGCAGAAGAATCCGAATGGTAGTGGTCTGGAAGTTGTGCAGTGAGGCTTGAAAGAGGGTCCTTCTCCCTCCAGTCACCCCCCCCCCCCTTGAGAAGCCCTGGAAGTTTTTCCGCAGCCTCTCCAGCTGGCTGCAGGGTAGAGAGCGCTTCTCTTCTCTCCGCATCGACTCAGGGCCGGGACTGTCCCTGCAGGAAATACGGCTCTCTTTAACCCTGCTGACAGATTTTATGGCCAGATTAGAGAACAGCAGAAAAGTTGGGTGTTAAAAGGGGCCTAGAGAGTCCTCCTTCCCAGAGACACCGCTCTCCCCCCTCCCTGCCCCCGGCCTCCTGTTATGCTGTGAATCTTACAGCACAGAGATTTCCCCCCACGACTCTGGCTGCCTCACTAGCGCCTGGAATCTCGCAGAAAGAAGGGTAGAAGACACCAAGCCAAGTGGGCCCTTATTTTTCGTCTGCAGTCCCAGCTTCAGGCCAAAGCTGTGTTTTTCCAACTCAAGCTACATTCCTCCTCTTGGCCTGCCTCTCTCGTGCTAGATAAATAATCAATCCACTCCATCCCCAGAGCCAAACATGGCGCTTCATCTAGTTACATCATTCAGAAAATGTTATTCAGGGAAGAGGAAGAGAGAAAGACAAAAAGAAAGAAAAACCCTTGAGCGTTATTTGATCCCAATCAAACTTTGCACGCTCTTATGCCTTTAAATTATAGCCTGACCCGATGCTAAATTGCTTGCTGCTTGAATGAGCCGAGTCCAGTTAAAACCCTACTTGGGGGGGGAGGGGGTGTAGAATTCAGGTTGCTTTTTTATTGTTATTTATTGTTGCATAAAGACTGTAATTACTAACCTTGGACTGCCAGAATGCAACATAAAAATGAAAATCAGCCCTCGCTTTAAGGCTGAGGGCCTGGAACGATTCTCACTGACACTGGCCCCCCCACCCCCACCCCACTACCACCAAATATATGCTCCTAATTAAGCAATGCGGGCGCATCGCTTACAATTAGAATTATGCATCTCTTCAGCAAGCAGCCATCGCTTCTCTTTCAACGAATTAGCTCCATATTTCAGCCGCCCTGTCTCTTCGCTCTTATCGGCTCCAGCGACGCGGCGGTGACATTTCATCTTTGACAGACCCTCTCTATCCTCGCTCCAATGTGATAAAACTTTTATGGAACCACGACTAAGAAATGAAGTTTTCCCAAGGATCGTGGAAACGGAGCTGCATGTTTGCCTGGGGACCATTTTATTTACGCTCGGATCCCACCCTCCTCCCTCTCCCCCTTTCCTTGGCGGNTTCCCAAGGATCGTGGAAACGGAGCTGCATGTTTGCCTGGGGACCATTTTATTTACGCTCGGATCCCACCCTCCTCCCTCTCCCCCTTTCCTTGGGGGGGGGGGGGGGGGGGGGGGGGAGTCAAAAGCGCCTCCTCTCCCTCCGCCCCGAGTTTTATTTAGTGATTTAATTTCACTTTAGGTTTAAGGTTTGACCTGAGAAGTCTAGGCCTCAAGATTTTTTTTTTTAAATCATTTTCCTTTGTTTTCATTTTAGACCCAATGGTGGTTGGGCTTCGGGTCACGTGACGACTTCTTTGTAGCTCCGGAAGAGAACGGTGAAGTTTAGGTTGCTTGGAAGAAGCAGTAAGCGGCCAGATTTTGCTGTTGCTGATGTTGTTATTGTTGTTGTTGTTGAAGGGGTGCCAGGAAGTTGTGGCCAAAGGCATGAGGAGACAGAAGGTCAATGTGAAAAGCCGAGAGGCAAGGAAGCCCAAGGGAAAGACCTAAAGAGAGCACCCAAGGGTCCTCTTTCCATCCCCCCCACCCCAACTTGTTATTTAAATCTTAAAGAAGTTGGCAGAATGGTCCAGGCCTGAGGCACCGCAAGGGGGTGGGGAGTTGGGTCTGAGTGAGTACTTAAAAGCCAAGACGGGGTCTTCCATGTCCTTCTTTCCTTGGGGGAAGTTTGGCAGTCAGCAGCCTCCCTCTGCTCTCTAAATTGGACCACCAGAACAAGATAAAATTGATAACAGAAAGTTTATTCAAGAATTGTTTGACAGACAACCCTTTTAAGTAAGGAAAAAAGTAACTACGGAAGAACAAAGAAAGTTCCAAGAGGGAATTAACTCTAATTCTACAAATTCAGGACTATACAATGACAAGAGGAGCTGAGTTCATGCCTTTTAGAACTAATTACAATTGCTCATAAGTACGCGTTTAACATAAATCTACAGCTCTTTTCTAGAATACGATAATAACTAAAATAGCTGGTTTTACAGGACAGGGAACACAACGTCCTTTGTAACAAGTAAATACTAAAAAAGTACAATTTTTTCATTTTTTTCCCTCATATAAATACATAATGTAAGGGGGGATAAATAATACAAAAAAAGAAAATATTTTAACAGGCTATAACCAATAAATATATATGAAAATGTTCACTAGAACACACACTTTTTGAGCGATGCTGGACTCCTGCAGACCCAGGCACCTCTCACAGTTGTTTTTATATCCATTAAAATGTAAACTCTAAGTGCAACAAAAGTGTCCGGGTCAGGGGGCTGAGCAAGGCCGGCGGGCCCAGCTGCAGCCCCTGGCTGGGACAGACAGTTTGTTAAAATATACCCTGTTTTCACGTTAAGTCAAGAGAGCAACAGAAGAAAAGAAAAGTGTAGACCCTCGCGTCGCCCGATTGCTTTCTGTGGAGAGAGGGGGATGGTCCTGGAGCTGAAGATGAGAGGCAGCAGAGTGGCCAAAGCTTCAGTCCTGACACCTTGCCTGCTCTGACCTCCCAGCTTGCCATAAAAGAAAAAAATATATATATTTATAATATAGACAGCTCTGACTTTCAGGATCTCTCGCCATCCCTGAGCCCTCTGAAAACTGTAATAGGTGGGGGCGGGGTGTGGATATCAATGTCCTAAAGCAGAAAATATGGGGCTAAAAATGGAGGGAGTGCCCCCCAGAAACCTCAGATAGATGGGAGGAAAAACTTGAGGCTTCAGGGAAGTGGGAGGGGAGCGTGCGTTGCGCCCTTGGTTTTGAAATGGGCTTTCTTTTTTTCTGTCTGTTTTTTAAAGGAGAACTGCAAAGGGGGGAAAAAATCGAGATCTGGAAGGATCACTCACAGAGATGGAAGGTAAGTTGGTTGGTGGGCGATGGCCTAGCCATCTTGTCTGCTTTTAAAACTGTGCTTCTCTGCCTCGTTTCCCTATCTGCTCTTCCTCCGCCCCACTCCGGAGCGTGGGATTCCAACTGGGTATTGCTGGAGGCCTAGGGTGGAGGGGATCCTTTCCACACGCTGCTGTGGATTCCTCTCCCCTGGGTTGGCAGGCGGATGGAACATGGACTGGAGGACCTTAGAAAGCAACTTCTCAGGCCAGGGGGAGAGGGGAAGGGGCTCCAGCCCGGGTCTTCCCAGCAAGCGTGGCTCTCACCTCCCTGCCTCGCCACTTCAGACCTCCAGGCTGTCCCCTCAGAGCCCCCCCCCCGCGCCTGCGCCCCTCCTCACTCTCGCCCACCCCAAGACCTCGCCCCCCTCCCATCACAGGTGTGTTAATTTGGGCGCTTCTTGGATTCTACCCTGAGGAGGAGGCGCGTGGTGAGAGGAGAGGTCTGTGTAGGTAGGGTGGGGATCGCAGGGTCCGTGGTGCTGGTTGGGGGCCATAGGGGGCGCCCCATTGTAGTCCAGGTTCCCCGAGGGGTGGTGGGAAAGGTGATTGAGGCCGTAGAGGGAGGGGCCGGCAGGGGGCGGCAGCGGATCCGCATAGCCGCCCCCGCCCACGTACACGGGGCTGCCCTGCATGGTGGGCGTCCCGTAGGCGCCCCCGTTGGCTTGGAGGACGTGGGGCTCGTAATCGGGCGCCGGGGTCGGGGGGTACTTCTGCGGGGCGCCGCAGCCTTTGAGAGGGGGCTGGTAGTTGGAGGGCAGCGCGTAGGCATTCTGGTGGGCTTTGCCGAAGGCGGGCGGCGACGGGCTCTCGTAGCTGGGGGTCATGGAGTGTAAGGCGTTCATGAAGCCGGCCGTGGACTGCATGGGTTGCGGGGGGCTGCCGGCAGGGGAGGGGCCCCCGGACGACGAGGCCAGGCCCTTGGCCTTCTGGTCCTTCTTGTACTTCATGCGCCGGTTCTGGAACCAGATCTTGATCTGCCGCTCGCTGAGGTTCAGCAGGTTGGCCATCTCCACGCGGCGCGGCCGGCACAGGTAGCGGTTGAAGTGGAACTCCTTCTCCAGCTCCACCAGCTGCGCGCTCGTGTACGCCGTCCGCGCGCGCTTGGACGCCGCCGAGCCCGGGGGGCTCCTGTCCCCTCCCCCGCCGCCGCCGCCGCCGCCTGCGCCGCCGCCGCCCCCGCCGCCACTGCCGCCGCCGCCGCCGCCCTCCGCTGGATCCGAGGGGGAGGGGTGGGAAGGGGACAAAATGAAATAAAAGATAATTACTGAACACGCCGAAATTGAATGCATGGTTTCTTAATAAATCCAGGCCTGGACTCGGAGCCCCCGCCGCCCTCCCCTTCCCGTCCCCGCCTCCTCCTCACCGCCACCCCCCCCCCAACGCCCGTCGCATTAGCGGACACTCTATAATAGTGGCATTTATTAAGAGACCTGTTCTCCTCTTGCTGCCCAGCTTATGAAAATTTGATCATGTCACGCAGACAGAGCCGCATGGCCATTTATTTAGAGCTGGGTTTTCTTGCGCACGGTTTCTATCCCCCATCCCCAGTTCCGGGTTCTGGGAAGACCCCCGCCCCCCCCCCCCCCCCCCCCCCCCCCCCCCCCCCCCCCACACAAACTTCCCGCCCGGTCCTGTGGACAAGGTGGGAGGCCCCGGAGAACCCCTGGGGGAATCTGAACATGGGGGGGGGGGGCAGGGCGCGGAAGTGTGGCTCGAAGAGGCGGCCTTGCCTCGAGGCCGGGACCCCGGGCGGCGCGAGCGATTGTGATTAATACCCACAGTAATCATACTTAATAATAATCAATCGTTGACGACTCTGCGTCTACTGGCGGCGTCTCGTGGCTCTGCGGCCTGGCAAAGGGGCTGAGGCCCAGCGCCCGGCCTTCGGGAGCTCTCGGCAGCCCAGGTGAAGGGCGGCTGGAGGGAGAGCGCGTTGGCGGGGTCAGGGGTCATCAGGTGGCGGGGGCTGCGGGGAAAGCGCCGCTGCGGCCGCCCCCTGATATTGTTCCCCGGCCGCCGCCTGGGCGCCTGGGGGCTGGGTGCTAGAATAACAGTGACATTCCTGGCCCGGACAAAAGCGGACGACGAGGAAGGCGGAGAGCTGGTACCTGTGCCGGGGGAGCTGTTTTTCAGCTTGGACGTCTGCCTTGACTCTTTCATCCAGGGGAATATCTGTTTGGTGAGGGTGGAGTTGGAGCCGGGAACGCACTTGGGGGTGCCGCTTTTGCCGGGCCCGCCCCCATTGCTGCTGTTGCTAGTGGTACTGGTAGGTGCGGCGCTGGGCGGGGGGGAGCCGGGCGGGGCGGGCAGGGGCTCGGGGGCCAGACCGGGCCTCATGCAGCTGCCGTTGAGCTCCTTGCTCTTGGCATGCGGGGCGGCGTTGCCCAGAGACTGCAAGGAGCACGCTGAGCGCTGGTAGTCGCCCTCCAGGTGCGTGGCGGCCTGAAAGGGGGGCTGGGGGGGACCGTCGTAGCCGAAGCCATTGCTGCCAGGGTACGAGTAGCCTCCGAAGAGCGCTGCCGCGGCGTTGTCGTAGTAGGTGGCTTTCTGCATCGCTGGGCGAGGCCCGGGCAGCGGGTGGCAACTTGCAAGAGCCTGATGCCCTCACGACCGGACATTGGCACCCGCGGGGGTCACGTGAGGCGCCGGACCCCCCCCCCTCCCCTGTCTGCCCCCCTCCTCCCGAGTCCGTTGGGAGCGGCTGACCTGTGGGGTGAGAGAAGAGACACAAGGGGTAGAAGAAGACTGGGGCTCGAATCCATCTTCGGAGCTGAAAAGGGAGCTGACATCAATAGGGTTCCCCCCCCCATCTTCAAAGCAGATGCTGAGGCCACTTTCCTGAACTGAAATGGATTTTTCTTATTTCAATGCTTTAATTAGAAAAAACAAAACAAAAACACCAGTTTTTATTTCCACTTCAAAAATAAGGATCTACTCCTTTGGGGACTGCCTAGGTGTACAATCTTACTACCAGAAAGGCCACCCATCTCTCCCGCCTGCCTGCTAGTCCCTGACCTCTCCTCCTCCCTCTCCCCCCACTAACTCTGGGATAGGGTGGCTCAAGGAGGGGGGGGACCTAGGAGACTCCAAAATAAAAAGCATGATCAACCCCCTCCTGTGAGCTGAGAGGCCTCCTGGCTCCTGTCTTTGCCTCCCTCCATGTCCATCTAGGTCTGTCACCCACACAGAGTCTCGCCTGGGGAAAAAAAAAAAAAAAAAAAAAAAAAAAAACCTTGAGGATCTCCAAAAGAGACAGGAAGGAGAAGCAAGTTGAGCAGGGAACCTTCTCCTGTGAGGGATCCTCTCTTTCCCTTCCCACCTCATGAAGACAACAACAGCCTGCCCTAGAAACTTCCTGAACATTTTTAACCTTCAGAGCCAGCAGAACCGAGCCTCCTCCACGGACCCTGGGGGAACCACCACCTCCAGGCTGAGTCTTCGCTCAGCCAAGCCTGGGACCCAGCAGCTAGCGGCCCCCATGGGGCCCCCAAATGGAGCAAGACTGTTTCCATTTCCCTGGCCAGACCGATTGGTGCAGTGACCATTTGGCCCAGGTCTCTCCCCACTCCATTTTTTTTCATCAGACCTAATTTTCCCCCACCCTTTCCTTGACAGTCTGTGTCCTCTGACTTCCCTAAAAGAAGAAAAGAAGAGAGGAACTGGATAACTGCTGGACTTTGCCAGCGAGAGATGTACAAGTACTTCCTAAATGAGAACATCTTCTCCCACAGGAGAAAAAAAAGTCCACAGAGCAATTAGGACAATATTATTCTCTGGGTTGGAAACAGGGTACCTTGTTTACTGAAGTTTTCTGAGGCAGAAAGAAAGAAATCATTCTTTTAATGCAGACGTTTAAAACTGTACAGGAAAAAAAATAGAGGTTCGGACTGTCATAGGATTTTGTATATTTCGTCTAAAAGTTCTGGCTGCGTTCCCCCTCCCCGTCTTCCCCAATCTCTCGCCATCACATTTCATAAAGGCTCCAGAGTGACCCCCTCTTCTGACATGTGAGTTTGGACTACTTAAATCTCACTCAGCCCAGCTGCTCAACCCCGAAGAAAACTAAAAGGAGGAAAATAAAATAAAAGGAGTGCAGGTGAAGGAAGTCCCTCCCACCCATAAATCCCTTCTTAATGGCACAGATCTACACTCAAAAGGGAGCCGGGGAGCCCTGAGTTCCGATTGGTTTCTGGGAAGAATTTGTTTCTGGGAAATACACATGGGTCTGTAAAGCAGCAGGTCTTTCCAGGGTGGAGAACTGGAGTTCAATTGACCAGGCTGACCCAATCCCTTTATTATTATTACCATTAGCCTCTGATGATTTAACCAAAATTAGCTTCAGAGCAGCCCTGGATGAAGGGGGAATTAATTAACAGGCATCAGTTGAGTTTGTTATTAATAGAGAAGAGAATGAAATAAAAACGTTGGAAAGGGTTGGCTGGCTGGGCCCTGGCTTTATTTAGTCTAAATGATTGTTACAGCAGTAATGATGATGATGATGATGACGACGACGACGATGATGATGATAAAGCAATAATCTGACTAGACGCCTGGGGCCGAAATTCCTGTCGTTTCCCCCTGCAATAAACCTGCAAACCATCGCAGGCCAGAGGCCAGGCGAGTGTGGGAAGCGGAGAAGCCAGAGACGTAACAGGAAAGAATGGAGACTCCGCTGGCGGCGAGAAAGGGCCGGGAGGTTTGTGGACGGAGCTAGCCCCTGGCTGCCGCCTCCGGGCTGTCTGGGCCACTGCTGCCGCGGCGGCTGGTGACTAGCTATGCTGGCCCAGGGAGGCGAAGAGAAAGCGTGCAGGACGCCTACCCGGCTAGCGGCGGCAGGTTCCAAGCACACGGGCCGGCCGAGGGCAGCAAGTTTGGGCGCCGGAGGTAACCGAATTAAAAGGCGCCTTAGCAACTCCGCTCCGGGACTTTGCCAGGCCCGGGTCGACCGGAGGGCGCAGAGGCCTGACTGACGGGACAGTGAGAAGGGGTGAAGGTGCTGAGGGGATCAGAGATCTGGGGATCCAGGAGAAGAGAGGGTGGGGAGCAGCCCTACCAAGCCAAACATGTCTATTTCCCTTGCCTCCATGTTGGAAAAATCCAGGCTCCATATGGCTTCTCGGGAGAGAGGGAGGCAGGGAGCCGGTGGCTCCCGGCTTCCCCCCGGGGGTCGCGTTGCAGAAGGGCGGTGAGCCACCCCAAGAACCCCACCTGTCCAGGCACCCCCCTGAAAAGAGCCGAGGACAGTAACAATAGCTGGGGGAGCCCGGAGAGAGGGGATAGGCCACCTTCCAGGGACTTAAAAAAAGAAAAATTAGTGGAAGGAAGAAAAAGAACAAGAAAGGAAAAGAGAGAAAGCTGAGGCTCTTCTTAGCAGCCGGGGGAAAATTTCAGCTCTGAATCTGGCTGCTGAAAGAAACGAGAGGAGAAAAGGAGAGAAGCAAGAAGGGAGAGGGAGAGAGAGAGAGAGAGAGGGAGGGAGGGGGAGGGAGGGAGGGAGAGAGAGAGAGAGAGAGAGAGAGAGAGAGAGAGGAGAGGAGAGTCGCTGCGTGGAAGGAAGCTTAAAGCTTGTGAACTCTTCTTGAACCGAGATTGGAGTCATATGGGCCATAAATCATTGAGACATACTCTCCGCCATTCACAAACTGATAGCCTATTTCAGTCCAGCTTACCTTAGCCACCGACGAGGGGAGAACAGGCAGACATAATATATATTCACATCGAGCCCCAGCGCGAGCGGCAGGCGAGAAATCTCCCCTCCTTGAAGGCAAAGGAAAAAAAGACCACTGTTTAAAGCTGCGTCGCCCCCCCCCCCCAGTAGCCACCCCGGCTGGGGAGCCCGAGGGGCAGAGCGGCCGGAGGAGCCGCGCGGCGTCCGCTTCAATTCACTCGGCTTAGGAGCGGGGGTGCGCAGGAGGGAGGGGGTGGGGGAGCGGGGGAAAAAAAAATAGAAGAAGACCGAAAGGTGCTCGAGCGGCTCAGCTCGCTGAGAATCCAGCTCCGGGCTCCGGCTTGGCCAAGCCGCCACAGTGTGGTTGCCCTACAAGACTGGTACGCCCTACTCTCCGTAACAATGGCCTCTGCTTTTGCACAGGGAAAAAAAAAAACCACACACACACTCTCACACACTCACACACACACGCACACAAGCTCACACCCCCCCACCACTCCCCCTTTAGTAAGCTTAGATGCCTGATAAGGAGGGAAGGTGGTGGTGGTGGTGGTGGTGGTGATGGGGGAGGGGGAAATTTTTTAAAGCCCCCCCCCCCGCGGGGAAAAAACGTGAGAAAGGAAAGAAGGCAGAGATTTTTTGTTTGGGTTTTTTTTTTTTTAAGAACAGGTAAATTTAAAATTGAGATTTTGGTGGGGGAGGAGGAGGGGGAGAGCAGAGGCAAGGGAAAGCTGGTGGAGTTCACAGCTCCCCGCACCCCCTCCCTGCACCCCCTCGCACCCCACTAGTAAGCCATTATGCTGAGAAGTAGGTGGGGAGGCCTTAGTCAAAGGCACCCAGGGCGCCTGGGGGTGGGGGTGCCGGGTGCCTCTCTGGCATTCATTCGCGGTGGCAACACTAGGACTCTTTTCTTTTTTTTTTTTCTTTTTTTTTTTTTTTAAGTAGTTTCACTCCTCCGGGACTGGTGGCTGGGTCTCCCGCCCTCTCACCCAGTCTCCCCCCTCCCCAGACTCCCAGTCTGTCTCTTCTCTTCCCCCACACCCTCCCTATTCCTCTACTCTCCCCTCAAGGCTCCAGGCCCAGTTTCCAACCGGTAGGGGGGACAGCCAGACCTTTTTTAAAAAACACCCCCCCCTTTTTTGAGAACAGACAACAAGCGGTGAGTGATTATTTTTAAAATCCAGACCATCTTGCAGCAGGAGGGGGGCTGAGGAGAGGGTGACAAAAGTGGGGCTCTGTTTAACCCGAGCTCCAGACACGGCTGGCTAGAGAGAGGCTGTAGGAACTTAACGGAGAAGTTTCTCCTGAGAGTCTCACCTCCGGCGAGGCAGAAGGGGCTAAGAGGTGATAAGGACATTTGTATTTCTAAGAAGGTGAGAAGAGCTACCAAAATGGCTCCATCTCAATGCGCTGGCAGAAGAGGAGGGTGGTTATTAGCGTTGTCCCGGACAAGCCTGTTTGTTTCTCTTAGCTCTGCGAGATTTATGACTCTTGGCACAAATGAGGAAGACGACAAAAGCTCAACTTTTCTTAGGGTGTGTTTGGGAAGGGCAGGAAGAGGCAAGGGAGGCCTGTAGGAGGGAGCCAAGAGCCAAGAATGTAGGTGTCTGCAGATTCGGGGCCGGGGGTGGGGAGAGCCATTCCCGCTGGAGGAAAGAGACAGAAAAGAGGACCAGGGCATTTCCCCAAAGCAGGAGGGTGTGCAACTCTGCCTCGCCGCTGAGTCCGTCGGGACTTAGGGGAGAAAACAGAAGGCAGAGAGCCTCTCCTTTCTACCAAGGCAGCTCGGAAAACTTGTTCCCTTCGCTTGGAGTAGACAGAGCCAGCCCCAGCGCTGGGACCGCCCGGGGAGAAGGCTTGGCTTTTGCCTGCTCCCATCTGGATGCGCCAGAGGAGATGGGACGGGGAGAACAAAGGTGAGAGCCGGTCCCAGCTATTGTCTCCCCTCCGGGAGAGGGTGGCTG